GCATCTTTCATCCGTTTCAGGGAATCGTCGGTGTGGTACTCAGCACGAATAAACTCCTTGTACCACTCGACCATGAGCACGATTGCCGTCCGGACATCTTTCCGTCCTGGGAGATCGATGATGAGAGGCAAGACCTGCATCATCGCACGATGCTCTGAAGCTGAAAAGCAGGCAGTGGATGTAAAGTAGGCCCACGCCGAAGGCAGACGGAGCACGGAAGCTGGTGTGACCTCCTTCAACATCTTGTATCGCCTAGAGAGAATGAACGGTTCAGCATGGTGGAAAAGCAAGCAAGGAGGGGAGGAACGGTTCAGCATGGTGGAACATGCAAGCAAGGAGGGAAGGAACGGTTCAGCATGGTGGAACATGCAAGCAAGGAGGGAAGGAACGGTTCAGCATGGTGGAACATGCAAGCAAAGAGATAAGTAACGGTTCAGCATGGTGGAACATGCAAGCAAGGAGGGAAGGAACGGTTCAGCATGGTGGAACATGCAAGCAAGGAGGGAAGGAACGGTTCAGCATGGCGCGGAACAACTCACTCCAGAAGAATCTTCCGTTCTTTCGGACTCAGCTTCTTCACAAGGCACTTCATGGCATGCAGCCATATGCCCTGCTCCCAGATGTGCATGATGTCCGGGGGGACAGCGAGGTACGTGTTGCCCCAGAGAGTCTTTGCAAATTCCCAGTCCCACAAAAGGCTCTGCGTTGTGGGTCAAGGACACAGAGTCACTATGGCAGGTCGGGGTAATAAACACAAACAGCTGGCTGCGGATTGGAGTAGGTTCTCATGCACACTAGCCAGTGCACTATATGGTGTGGATGGAGGGAAACCAGATGAGATGCGCGGCAATGCATGCGGGTCAAGCTAGGCAAGGGCTACCTTCACAAAGTGAGTAGAGGTCTTCTTCTTAACCGCCTTCAGCTTCTTCGTGGTCTTTGCTGATTCCATCTCCTTGTACGCATCCTTCTGACTCTTGACAGTTCTGAGGACAATAGTGTCTTCCTGCTCATCCAGGCACTCCTTATCGGGGGGCGTTTGAGTCAACTCAAACGTCATCGCTTCGAGGTGCTCCTTATCAGCCAAGCACAACGAGCACGGATGGAGCGCGTTGCATGCCATCGTACAAGTGACCTTAGAAGACTCCGGGTGATCTGTCACCCATGAATATAGAAGCGTGAATGCTCTATATTGCACACCGGCACTGTCTTCCACCATCACACCGCCCCTGCACAGCCGCCAAGGATGAAGGGGGAAACAGGGAGGTAGAGGCGGGATGATGGGATAAGACGTCGGATATGGGAGTAACGGAGTGAACATGGGCGGCCCTAAGCAAGCAGATGAAGAACGGTTAGGAAGATGGGGACAGCAAGCAGGGAAGGCATTAACGGCATGAGATGGTGGCAAAGCAAAGTTATGACTGAATACAGCGTTGCGGCACGCATGCGAAGGAGGACAAGATGTGAACGAGGGTCAACAAAGGGAGCGGATGGAAACGTGACGGAGTGGTTGGTTTGACCAAACCAGAAGGCTAATGATGGAAACAGCGGGGTGGGATGATTATGAATAAGGATGAGGCAGAATACGTAGTACGATGACGGAGATTACTAGGGATGCGCGCCTTTGGGTGACAGTAGTGTTGACTCACCCTTTCAGATGTGAAGCCGCCATTAGATCTTTAATCATGATCTCTGCAGCGCGCTGGAACACTCGAACCTTTTCTTCCGGCGAGAGGTCAGCTGGGATATTAGGCAGAAGCCCGAGAAGCTCAGTGCCTCCTTCGAGCCACCTAGCCCATTCCGGAATGTTCCCAAAGGACAAAAGAAATGGGTGGGCGGATTGGCGCCCGTTATGTGATAGATTGGTCTGGTCTGAGAACAGAATGAGCGCTATAACTATGCCATACTTCCGCACCCTCTCCTGCCACAGTGAATGGGAAAGTGATGGAGATCTGAATTGGATCCAATGTTTCGACGGTCTTGTCAAACGCGACATGAGCTGGAACCAAACTTACCCAAGCCTCCAGCATCCAGTCCGTGTTTGCAGGGGTACTGTAGCGGCGAACCCCATCAACCTTCCACTCTTGAGGCATGATGGTGAATCCCTTGACAGCTGACATTTTCTTGAACATGGCCTGAATGAGCTGATGGTGATAATGACGGAAACAAAGCTGTAAATAGACGTGAAGAAACGATGGTTCCCTTTGGTCCGATGGTTTGATCGTCATCACTAAACCCCCACCTCCACACTAAAGAACGTGACACCGCACCTGGGAGACACTCACTTTTATAGCGTTTCTGCGTTTGAAAGTGAGAAACCCAATGTCGTGATCCACTGGGATCTCCTCGACGATCCATTCGTTCGCCTCTCCAACGTCAAAGGTGTTCTCGTACTTCTCCAGGTCCCGGTAGCTGTTCCAATCGTCCAGCTGCTTTGGATCTAATTTCGGATGTCTAACTAACTGTATTGTGTCGTTAATCGCCCCGTTGGTAAGTCCGTGAGATCGTGCCAAAATGCATATTTCCGCCTTAACATCGAGAATTTCCTCTGTAGGAGCTTCTTCCACCACGAGTGTGGTGCTACACGTATGAACCGCATCAGGAATTCGCTCTGCCGGCTGGGGCTGCTGCTCTACTGCGTTCGGAAGTGCTGCTAAGGGAATTGAATGCGCTGGTGCGGGAAGGGTGGATGTTGATAACGGGACAGAGGTATACTGCTTCTCAACGTCGCGACACAGCTTCTTTCGTTCAGCAGCCTCTTGAGCCTTGCGTCTTTGGGCCCGCTTACAGCCGCCATGGTTAGCTTGATGGCTAGCTACTGTTTGATAGCAGTACACACGCTTATTACAGAACTCGCAAGCCTGACCCTCCATCGAGCAGATCTGTCCGTAGGACGGAAATGGTGTTTGGCACACCAGCTTGAGACGTGAATGGTAACACTGCACCGTGGTGAGTTAGCGCCCATCGTATGGTCGATAGTTTACTGAAAGGCGAGGGAATGATTTGGCGCGCACACGAATTCGCGATCAGAGTCTGAGCATATGGTGGCCGTGACTCTGATTGGCGAATGGTCATCGAGTGTCAGTCGTTGGTTCGCAATTGCTTTGGCTTTGTGATGTACTGCTCGAAGTGTTAGGTCACACTGTTTATTGGTGCGCGACAACCGCGCAGGTAGGCGAATGGGCCTTGCGACTCTCATCATCAGCATCTCCCGGCGTAACTGGTTTCGCGAACAGCTTTCTTGTCGCAGCAAGCTGACGAGGTTTTGTACCCAACAGGAAACAAGTTGGCGAGGGTCGTTTCGGCTTGCGACATGGACCTGACATCATTTTCGCGTACACGCCAATTGTGTCAGAATAATACAAGCCGCAACAATGTCATTGGTGCAGAGAATCCTGTCAGACCGCCCAACACTGTTCACAAATTCCACCAGATATCAAGAGCACGCTATTCGCTGACGACGTATGGGAGCAGGGATCACAAAGTTGACCAACGAAGGGCAAGGGCATGTGGGTCCTCCTTCCGGAACTACAGTACAGTACCTGCTTCGTCTCTTCGTTGAGCTGGCTGGGCAACAGAATTCCGACCCTTACCTTAGGCAAGATCCTCATCAAGCCGAGTTTGCTATCTCAAGGTATGGAGGAGAAGGGCATACCCAAGTTAGGTCGATGTCGTTTCCAGCACATGAGCATGCCATCCCCGTTTGGGGGATCTCTTGAAATCAAGCCCTCAGATTACCGCACGCTGGGAAACGAGCAGTGGATCAGTGGCAAGGTTATCGAGTGGCTCTCATCGTGAGTAGCTCAATCTTGTACACAGGGCAATCTGAAGTGTTAATCCTTGTTTATAGTTTCTCACGAGCTGCACCGACTTTGCATATTTTTTATGTCGATCATGCAGAATGTTACATTATGAGTACGGACTCGACAATGCGTCGTGGCTTTGCACATCGCCTTATTTCTGGACCCTCGTAGCACGCACGGAGACGAAGAGGATCACTAGGCAGGCCTATGGACTTGACATCTTGTCGTTTAAGCACGTTCTTGTTCCGATTAACAAGGAGTATGTGGTCGGGTCTTTTTGGATATGTGTTGCACGTAAACATGTGCTGCAAACTAACGACTTTGGACGTCTCGATTGCATTGCAGCGCGCACTGGAGCCTCGCTGTCATCGAAATTAATGCCGCGCCGGAATCCGTTATCCCAATCAAGTGTGTACTGTGGCATGCGGACTCATATGCAACTCACGTCGACATTGATGGGCCATTAAGAAAGTGAGATATGTGCTGCATATGAAACGACCTTGTTGGGAACCGATGTTAACAAGCAGTACGTCTCAATGCGCAGGTGTTTGATGAGTCAGGTCATGCAGCGCTACGCGTGGGTCACGGAGACCGAAGCAGAGGCCTGGGCAGCTGCGATTCAGTTAAACGCCATAGCGGTATGTGAATTAACGGATTAAGGGAGGAGTGGTGTGGGACGTTTCCGCGCATGAACAAGCATGGGATGCGCTGATGAGTAGGGGAGGGGGTGTTGTGTGCTGCGCATGGACAGACACGGGATGCGCGGATGAGTAGGGGAGGGTGAGTTTTGTGATGCGCATGGAGAAGGCATGGGATGCGCGGATGAGTATGGGAGGGTGAGTTTTGTGATGCGCATGGAGAAGGCATGGGATGCGCGGATGAGTAGGGGAGGGTGAGTTTTGTGATGCGCATGGAGAAGGCATGGGATGTGCGGTCGAGTAGGGGAGGGTGAGTTTTGTGATGCGCATGGAGAAGGCATGGGATGCGCGGATGAGTATGGGAGGGTGAGTTTTGTGATGCGCATGGAGAAGGCATGGGATGTGCGGTCGAGTAGGGGAGGGTGAGTTTTGTGATGCGCATGGAGAAGGCATGGGATGTGCGGACGAGTAGGGGAGGGTGAGTTTTGTGATGCGCATGGAGAAGGCATGGGATGTGCGGACGAGTAGGGGAGGGTGGGTTTTGTGATGAAGATAGAGAGGCATGGGATGCGCGTATGGGATACTCCTCTCCTCCCAACCCTGCTGCTACTCCTCTCCTCCCTTCCCTGCTCCTACTCCTCTACGCCCTTCGCTGCTCCTACTCCTCTCCGCCCTTCCCTGCTCCTACTCTGGAGAAAGTTAAATGCTCCTCCCTTCCCCCCTCCTACTCCTCTCCGCCCTTCCCTGCTCCTACTCCTCTCCTCCCCTTCCAGGCTGCTACTCCTCTCCTCCCCTTCCATGCTGCGACTCCTCTCCTCCCTTCCTAGCTGCTACTCCTCTCATCCCTTCCCTACTGCTGCTCATCTCCTCCCTTCCCTGCTGCTACTCCTCTCCTCCCGTCCCTGCTGCTACTCCTCTCCTCCCTTCCTTGCTGCTACTCCTCTCATCCCTTCCCTACTGCTGCTCATCTCCTCCCTTCCCTGCTGCTACTCCTCTCCTCCCTTCCCTGCTGCTACTCCTCTCCTCCCTTCCCTGCTGCTACACCTCTCTTCCCTTCCTTGCTGCTGTACCTCTCCTCCCTTCCTTGATGATACTCCTCTCCTCCCTCCCTGCTGCTACTCATCTCCTCCCTTCCCTGCTGTTGCTCCTCTCCTCCCTTCCCTGCTGCTGCTCCTCTCCTCCCTTCCCTACTGCTGCTCCTCTCCTCCCTTCCCTGCTGCTGCTCCTCTCCTTCCTTCCCCCCTCCTACTCCTCACCTCTCTTCCCCCATCCTACTCCTCTCCTCCCTTCCCCCCTCCTACTCCTCACCTCTCTCTCCCCATCCTACTCCTCTCCTCCCCTTCCCTTCTGCTACTCCCCTCCGCCCTTCCCTGATGCTACTCCTCTCCTCCCTTCCCTGCTGCTACTCCTCTCCTCCCTTCCCTGCTCCTACTCCTCTACGCCCTTCCCTGCTCCTACTCCTCTACGCCCTTCTCCGCTACTACTCCTCTCCGCCCTTCCCTGCACCTACTCCTCTCTGCCCTTCCCTGCTCCTACTCCTCTCCGCCCTTCCCTGCTCCTACCCCTCTCCGCCCTTCCCTGCTCCTACTCCGGAGTGTGAGTTGTGTGATGCGCATGGAGAAGGCATGGGATGCGCGGATGAGCAGGGAAGGTGGGGGGGGCGGGTAGGGGGTTGGGGAAGGGGCTGGAGCGCTGAAAGCTGCTCATGGTATCGCCTTGTATGAATCACCTGATTTTTGTGCAATCTGCAGGTGCGCCAGCAGGACAACGAGAATGACTGCGGCGTTTTTGTGATGCGTGTCATTCATACGCTTGTCGAGACCAAGTTCGACTGTTTGAATGCGTGTGACCTGGTCGGGACACCAAGACAGTGGAGGCGCCAATATCGTCACGATTTGGCTAAGTGGTCCTGTGTCGTTGGACCATGCAAGTAGTTTGATCCAGGCTGATCGAAACCGTTAAGCCTGCTTGCTAGTAGTTAGTGACATGCATTAGCACCTGACGTTCTGCTGCGTTGTACTGCTCATCGTTTGATGCAAACTTGCCTGACAGTTTGATAACTGATTTACACCGGACTGTAAGCTATAAGAAATCCATTGCATACCCTATGGACTCGTAGAAACACGATTACAAGCGCGCACGGGAAACACATAATCGTTCTATTGCAGCACCCTAGATAAGCAACAGGACATGGACCTGCAAGAAGAAAGGCACAATAAGAAGTCATTAGAACGGGTTAACATCTTCCTCTAAGTAATCTCGGGGCGGTGACTGCTCTATCTCCTGATCCATCTCCGGGTTGTCGTCACGATCATCGTCTGACTCCGCGAGCTCCTCGCCCGCCGGCTCCCTGGGTTCCTCCCCATCCTCCTCCAGTTCCTTCTCCTTTCGCTTGCGATCGTCAGAAGGGAACAGAACGCTCTGCGCAGGGCGCCTCTTCTTGAGGCTTTTCCAGGTGTCGAGCACCCCAGGCCAGTCCATCTCGTACTGCAGCAGCGAGATCTGCATCAGCTCCGCGAGCCGCGCGTTGCAGAGAGACCCACGGATCCACGACTTGATCACGTTCTGACGCGAGAACCCCCGCTCGCACTCCACAGTGGAGAGTGGCAGGACTGCCAACGCCTGCCACATCAGCAATAGGTTGGGCCAGCGTCTGCACAAAACAAGGAGCATCAGGTTTCCCGAAGCGTTAGATTTGAGACATGCATGTGGCACACGCAGACTAGGTGGACTTACCTCTTGGCGTCGCCGCTCCCCATGAAGTTCGCCAGTCCCTGCGCGAATGACTCGTCCGCGTGGTGAGACTCCATGATTGGCCACCAGGTTGCCAGCTCCAGCGACGCTTTCTTGTGATCAAACCCCGGCAGCTTGTTCTTGAACAGAGCGGCGCAGCCAGTCAGCCAGTCGTGGCACTTGCGGTCTCGTGCGTGCTTGCTCTTGGGCCATTGAGACGCGCGAAATAGCTTCGTTGGACCCATCCCCCGCAGGTCGTCTAGGCGAAACAGGAGACGATCGACGACGTCCGTCGCGAACTTGCGGCACAGCTTCACGCACGCCTTGTAGCCGCTCTTGTACTCATGGTCCTTGAGCTTCCTCTCGTGCAGGATGTAGGAGTGGTTCACAGGGCGGCCCTCCGAATCCGAGCCACGCACTCGGACCGTCTGACCCGACTTCTTGCCATACAGCGCCAGGAATTTCGGCACCCATCCGTTGCCGGAACCACCGAAGTCCGCCTTCTTGTCCAGGTACCTGTGCTCGAGGTCGCCAGTGATGCACTCCACGGTCTTTGCCACCTCTGTAACGTCGACCTGTCCACAACAACTAGGGAATTAGGACACGATGAAACAAGAAACATAGCCACCCACAAAACGCAAACTCACCTGCCGCTTCTGAAACGAACGGTTCAGATCATTCAGGTCGCCGAGGATGTCAGCGAGGAAGAAGAGGCAGAACTGAAACTTGTACGACGTCACCGTCTCGTACAAGTCGTGCTCCTTCTCGTGGAAGAGCACAATCGCCGCACCCAGCACCTTGCACAGACGCTTCACCGCGTCGCCCCGGGAGAGCCAGCGCACGCTGTGTATGCCTTGGACCTCGAGGTTTGTGTTGTATATGACGCGCTGAAGGTACTTGAAGCGCCGGCTCCAGTGGCATGAGGCGCCAAGGCGTTCAACCAGAGTGCGCACCACGGTGTCCACCATCGCGAGATCGGGATTAGCCGTGGCCGCGTCCTTCACCGCCAATGCCTCCCTGTACATCCAACTAGCCAATCATTAGTATCCGTCGGGGTCTTCGTGAGGCGCTGTACATAAAGCATGTTGTAGGTGCGGTAAAAGATTATCACATGTGGGCGATGCAGTGTGTTGACACGAGATGCGGCACATGCTCCCGCAGTCTTGTGACGAGGCCGTTGTCACATCCAATCATTACAGACGCACTGTCGGTGCTGATGTTCGAATACTGCATTCTGCTGACTGGACAAGGCCACGTCACCAGCAGCGACACTCCAGAAGCGAAGGGGAGTGTTGGGAACAATAAATCCTAAAGCGCCTATGTCGTGTCAAAACCCAAGACACTAGCGAAGCAGTCCGAATCGAAGCATCGAGTCAAACCTCGGAGGTTAGGGTAACCGCCTGGAGGTTACGGGAAAGTCAAAGGTCAGCGACCTTTGACTCGACAATTACAGCGCGACAGCAAGGACACACAACTGACTCGACATTGAGCAGTTGCCCGAGTCGCACCGTATCAATCGCAACAGTAAAACGGTTTGAATCTATCTATTCGTATTCCCTGTACTCTTATATAAACCTTGTATTTGCTTGTTTCAATTTAATCTACTTTGCTCTCACATACTAGTGCAAGGTCGGTTCACAAGTCTCATTAAACGCTTCCGCTGTTACACATATCCTACCCAGAGTTATCCTCTGCAAAGATCCTAAAGTGCTTTCTCAGCCCAATAGTATGCATCGGCCGATGAATGCAGCAATGAGGCCACTACGCCGGGGCTATATTCACCAGAGATGCAACATCTACATGGCATGCCAGTTGTTGGTGTGAAACTGACTGTGCTTGCTCTCAACAATTGCATAGGGCGTATTGATGGCTGTAGACTTGGACGTTGTTAAAGACAGAGTGTGATGGCACTCACGCCTAGTATTCACACTATATCGCCAATTATGATTTTGGTTGAGGTATATGTTGTTTGCAAGACTGCTAGTTAATGCGTGAAGGATTGCTGTTTCGAAACACCCTATTCTTAACTACTTTATAAGTTAGTTTATGTAAACAAGTATACCCTAAACCCTAATTCGTCATACTAAAATAACGTCAGACCAGGAACATCCTCGCTACAAAGAGTGGTGCTACGAAATCGAAATTTCAACGCAACCACGAGGGGCACTCACGTACCGCGATGTTCGAAATCCACCACGGCTCGAAGCGCGCTAGTGCACGGACAACGCTCTGTCAAATTGCTGCTGTCACATTGGTGTTTTTTTTTTGTCCTTGTTATTTTGTAGTAGGCAAAGGCCTGGTTCGGTTCCCGTACTCACGCTTGTAATTACTTACTCGAACGCCCCCGCGACTAGCCCTATTAGGCTGCTCAAAACTAGGATTTAAAATAATGGCTCATTGCCATCGCGTTCCCTGCAACTTCAAGGGCAGTTGAACTGTCGTGATGCACCACCACCACCAAGCGTGCTGCCATGTGGGAATTCGTTACAGGAACAATGTTCTGGAGCCGACGCTCGATCAAGAGGGGAGGCCACGATACCCTACATGTCCGAAGCACCCAGTTTGTCTAGCTGGTAGCAGTTAGGTTCTCCTCACGATATCCCTCTACGGTATGTACGTCAAGCGAAGTTAGCCAAGTTAGCCGGTTTGTCCTAGCCACGTAATAGTTGTCACGGTGCTGTTCTCATACTAGTAGACACGTCCTGCTTGGCGCGGCGGTGCTGTTCTCGTAGTAGGCACGTCCTCCTTTGGCGCGGCGGTGCAGGAACAGAATAGGCTCGTGGCGCGGTGGTGCTGGTCTCGTAGTAGGCTCATACTGCTTGGCGCGGCGGTGCTGGTCTCGTAGTAGGTTCGTCATGGTTTGGCGCCGCGGTTCTGTTCTCGGACGGCGCGTCCAGAACTGACGCGTGTCGCGGCTGTTCTATCTTGCACGACTTTGGTCGGCGCGTTTCGTGGGCACGTAGTGCGATTGCGCGCTGCTGTTCTGGCAGGCATGTCCAGCTCGCGCGCTGCTGTTCCTTGAGTCTCTAAGGCCTATTTATAGAATCTCTGAGCACGTGGGTTTCATAGCTCAGTTCGGTAGCCGTTAATTGTGCTTGTTTAGCAGAATTGTTAGAGAGATGGCGGACATCATCGTTACCGATAAGGCCAATGCTAGTGCGCTCCTCGGTAGCGCTGGAGCTCTACAACTCTCGGGCGACGCGAGAACCGACGCGGAACAGAAGCTGCACGACAAGATGACGCCTCATGATGCCTCGCAGCTAGTTGTGAGGTATCGTCGGAAGAACACGCTTCCTGCACGCGATGCCCAGGTGGAATCGGAAGGGGCATCTTCTTCGGATGGTGAGCAATCAGAGGAAGAGGCATACAATGGCAAGGTTGGTCGCGGCGGTTCACGCGGGCGGAGGAACGGTCGAAAGTTGAAGCCGTTGGACCAGTGTGAACCTGCTACAGGGAGGAAAGGTACGGATCCAGCTTTTATATCCATTCTGCGTGTGTATGTCTTAAAGTTGCTCGTTATTAGCCTGGCTGTGTACGCACACAATCCAGAGAGGTGCGGCCCTCGTATTATCTGAGCATATCGTCTTGATGCGTGTTGTAGGTACACGCGCCGGTGCCAAGAGCAAGAAAAGGGGAAAACAAGACACAGCGGGTGCAACAGGACATGGAGAAGATGCAGACGACGAGGAGCAACAGCCAGAGAAAGGGCATAAGCGTGAGGACGAGCGTGAGGGAGAGCGCGAGGGCAGGAGAGAGGGTGAGCGTGAGGGCAGGCGTGAGGGCAGGCGGGAGGGCAGGCGTGATGGCAGGCGGGAGGGAGAGCGTGAGGCTGAGCGAGAGGGAGAGCGAGAAGGTGAGCGAGAGGGAGAGCGAGAGGGAGAGCGGGAGGGAGAGCGTGAAAGAGAGCGTGTTGTGAAGCGTGAGGGAGAGCGTGATGTGCAGCATGAGGGAGAGCGTGATGTGCAGCACTAGGGAGAGCGTGAGGTGAAGCGTGAGGGAGAGCGTGATATGACGCGTGATGAGTCTTCTCCCTCTACTCCAGCAGGTGCCCGTGCGGATGATGCACATAATGTTCGTGGTCATGGGGAGGGTGGGAGGGAGAGACGTGGCGCAGAGTTAGAAGATCAGAGAGGGGTGTCAGGGAGAGTGAAGGCACGGGCCAGAAATGCTGGAAAGAAGGCCGTTGCAGAGGTGGAATCTTCAGATGAAGATGATAGTTCTGAGGAGGAATCAGGGAGTTCCTCCGGGAGCGAGGAGAAGTATGATGAGGAGGAGGACGAGAGTGATGACGCTGAATCTGAGTCCGGGAGTGATGACGACGGCAGGAGAGGGGGGATGGCACGAGGAGCGCGCAACCACCGCTATAGTGGAAAGCGTGGTCATGCAACCGGTGGTAAGGCCGGTAATGGACGTAAACGGCAGAGACGTCGAGAGCGTGCTCAAGGAAAGCGCACAGAATCTGAGGGACCCAAACGGCGTCGTAAGGAGCGTCCTGTTGTGAGACAGGACCTTCGCTTCTACGATGAGATGAGGACCTTGGGTCACTCGGAAGATGCTGGACCGTCGAATCGTCGGGAGACCGTTCGGATGAAACAGGCAGCAACCAACGATCCGTATGCTGCCCTTGCTTCTACCTCAGGATTGGGAAAGAGGGCGTCTCGATTTCAAGATCGGAGCGTGCGTGAGAACGCTGGCCAGCAGCATGACAACACGCTGAATCCAGCCGGGGGTGGTGACGATCTGGCCTGTGGTGGGGGGCTGGGGGCGAATGAGGGTGAGGCGGGTGGTGTTGGAGATTGGTTCAACGATGAAAGGAAAGTTGGACGCTCTGACCCAGCAACTCCCCTCCCGTTTGCATCGGCAGGAGGCAATTCCCCGCTCAATGCTAGCGGAGTGCCCATCATTCATTCAAGCACCACTCCTAATGATTCCATGCAGCAACTCTTTCAGGCTTTGCAGGAAGCTAATAGGCAGATCGCAGAGCTGAAGGCCGGTCGGGGACCTTTGGTGGACAGGGGGGGAAACGGGACGCAACTCCCGCCGCTTACCTCGATCTCCAGCGAGCAACCTGAGCCGTCCGAAACGCCGGGCGCTGTGGCGGAGAGTGATGTTCAAGGCACTCCAATCACCAGGAGGCATGGGATGCCTAATGCAACAAATCTGAAGGTAAGTGCCACCCATCTCACTTACCCATTGGTGGACCCTACTCGCTGGCTTGTACATTATATCATTCTATTGTCCCCAACCGCGCATTACCATTCTTATTCTTTGTTTGTCTAGTCATTCCCACTCTCTGGAATCATTCCATGCAGTGACCTTTTCTCATTCACAATCTCCGTTTTACCCTTCATTCCCATTTTCTGGTTTGCCCTTTGTTTTCATTCTCTGGTTTAACCCTCCTCATCCTCTGGTGGTACACCTCATTCTCATGCTATGGTTCACCCCTCATTCTAAGACAAATGGTTCCCACCATTCTCTTTCTCTGGTTCCAATCCGTGCATTTGCTCATTCTCGTGCAGTCCCTGGTTTTACATGCTTTTTTGCGTATCCCATTCTTGTCCATGGTCATTATCATTCACATTATCTTGGTTTTCAATCCTATTGGCTGGCCCGTTCGTGGCAATGGCTCGTCCACTAGTTTTCTCTGGTTTTCCGTTTCAACCGGATAATTTTGCACCTCCTCTGTCATTGTGGTTTACCTTTACATTGTTGGTCCCTTTATGTCGTATTGAACAGCTCTACATGGAAGAAGCTCGGACGCGCATGTGTATGGAGGCTGAGGACCATCTCATCACGTTCTATCCAAGCTTTGAGAAGCGCATTCTTGTTTTGCACGAAGTTATTTCCGAGCACTACGTGGTTCCCTTGATCATACTCAAGGAGGCCATGGCAGATAAAACACGCAGGGATGCATTCAAGCGCGTGTACACTCAGTGGAAGAACGAGCGTGGGTTTTACGTCAAACGCACCGTGCTCGAGGGTTTGGGGGTTCCCATGAGTGGCTTGCGGGCGGCGGAAATTCACATCGACACCGAGCTCAAGGAGGAACTATGGGGGGAGTTTGGCCCGAGTGAGTAAACATAAGCTTGTCATTTTCCCCCACCTTCCCCCCCTCCCCCCGTTCTCACCATCTCAACCCTAGCACCCCTATCTTGCAACATCCCATATTCCGTACTTGTTGTCTTAAAAGGTACTTTACATCACCCCCTAACCCTTTTCCTATATCACACCCCAACCCTTGGACCCCTTTTGTTCGAGCATGTTGCAGGTGCGGACGCCCTACTGAGCACATGGGGAAATGCCGAGGATAGTGATCTCCCGTTCGGCAACGAGATTTTCTTCAACGCGGCCATGGACGCATTTGGTGAATTTGCCGTGGGGAACGACATTTGCTTGAAGGCATATCACATTGCATGGACTATCTTGGTGGTGAGTGACTTGTTAGGGCCCTTTAGCGTGTTTATCTAGACGGATCTTTTTTCCTTGTGTTTCCACCTGCCCCATGCCATCAACCCTAAACCTTATGCACTCGTGTTTCCAACTTCCCCTCCGTTGCTCCTTGAAACCCAGGTTTCCACTCCTCTCGAGTTGTACCCTAAACCCTCTGGTTGCACTCTTCCACTCACGGACTTACATTGTTAATCCTTTTCTCCATTCTCCTCACATCCATGCAGTACCCATCAGAACCCTAAACCCCTCAGGTGTTTCCAAACATTCATTGGTTCCCCATTTCCTTCCAAAGCTGCGCCCACTCATGTCTCATGCTCACATTCTACCACTGGCGTACTTTCCTGCATCTTGCGATTGCCCCGCATAACCATAAACCTCTCACACATCCTCATCAAGCTTGAATTTGTTCATGATTTCCATTCTTGACAACGCAGATTGACTATGGATTGTCGAAGATCAAGAAGTCGACGATGAACCTCACCAACTCCCACCGTAAGAACACGCGGTGGGTGACAAGCATCCGTAGGGCGGTGAAACGGGCGGTGACGGATCATTTCCGCCAGGTGAACCCTGTGTACGATACACGGATGAAAGGGTTTAAGTGGGGGAACTTCGGCTTGTTCGTCCATGAGTCGGGGTTCGAGGAGTATAGGCCTAGACCACAACCCCGCAACCTGACAAGGAGGGTGGCTTCAGGTCACGTCTAGAGGAGATGAATGGTGGAATTGCAGCAGAGAATGGAGGAGAGGAGTAGCAGCAGGGAAGGGAGGAGAGGAGCAGCAGCAGGGAAGGGAGGAGAGGAGCAGCAGCAGCAGTTCAGGGAGGAGAGGAGCAGCAGCAGGGAAGGGAGGAGAGAATTAGCAGCAGGGAAGGGAGGAGAGGAGTAGCAGCAGGGAAGGGAGGAGAGGAGTAGCAGCAGGGAAGGGAGGAGAGGAGTAGCAGCATGGAAGGGAGGAGAGGAGTAGGATGGGGGAAGAGAGGTGAGGAGTAGGAGGGGGGAAGGAAGGAGAGGAGCAGCAGCAGGGAAAGGAGGAGAGGAGCAGCGGCAGGGAAGGGAGGAGAGGAGCAGCAGCAGGGAAGGGAGGAGAGGAGCAGCAGCAGGGAAGGGAGGAGAGGAGCAGCAGCAGCGAAGGGAGGAGAGGAGCAGCAGCAGGGCAGGGAGGAGAGGAGCAGCAGCAGGGAAGGGAGGAGAGGAGCAGCAGCAGGGAAGGGACGGGAGGAACAGCAGCAGGGAAGGGACGGGAGGAACAGCAGCAGGGAGGGGAGGAGAGGAGTAGCAGCAGGGAAGGGAGGAGAGGAGTAACAGCAGGGAAGGGAGGAGATGAGTAGCAGCAGGGAAGGGAGGAGTATCATCAATGAAGGGAGGAGAGGAGTAGCAGCAGTGAAGGGAGGAGAGGAGCAGCAGTAGGGAAGGGAGGAGAGGAGCGGCAGCAGAGAAGGGAGGGGAGGAGCAGCAGCAGGGAAGGGAGGAGAGGAGCAGCAGCAGGGAAGGGAGGAGATGAGCAGCAGCAGGGAAGGGAGGAGACGAGTAGCAGCAGGGAAGGGAGGAGAGGAGTAGCATCAGGGAAGGGAGGAGGAGTAGCATCAGGGAAGGGAGGAGAGGAGTAGCATCAGGGAAGGGAGGAGAGGAGGAGCAGCAGGGAAGGGAGGAGAGGAGGAGCAGCAGGGAAGGGAGGAGAGGAGCAGCAGTAGGGAAGGGAGGAGAGGAGCAGCAGCAGAGAAGGGAGGAGAGGAGCAGCAGCAGGGAAGGGAGGAGAGGAGTAGCAGCAGGGAAGGGAGGAGAGGAGCAGCAGCAGGGAAGGGAGGAGACGAGCAGCAGCAGGGAAGGGAGGAGAGGAGCAGCAGCAGGGCAGGGAGGAGAGGAGCAGCAGTAGGGAAGGGAGGAGAGGAACAGCAGCAGGGAGGGGAGGAGAGGAGTAGCAGCAGGGAAGGGAGGAGAGGAGTAGCAGCAGGGAAGGGAGGAGAGGAGTAACAGCAGGGAAGGGAGGAGATGAGTAGCAGCAGGGAAGGGAGGAGTATCATCAATGAAGGGAGGAGAGGAGTAGCAGCAGTGAAGGGAGGAGAGGAGTAGCAGCAAGGAAGGGAGGAGAGGAGCAGCAGCAGGGAAGGGAGGAAAGGAGAAGCATCAGGGAAGGGAGGAGAGGAGCAGCAGCAGGGAAGGGAGGAGTGGAGTAGCCGCAGAGAAGGGAGGAGAGGAGCAGCAGCAGGGAAGGGAGGAGAGGAGCACCATCAAGGACGGGAGGAGAGGTGTAGCAGCAGGGAAGGGAGGAGAGGAGCAGCAGCAGGGAAGGGAGGAGAGGAGCATCATCAAGGAAGGGAGGAGAGGTGTAGCAGCAGGGAAGGGAGGAGAGGAGCAGCAGCAGGGAAGGGTGGAGAAGAGCAGCAGCAGAGAAGGGAGGAGAGGAGCAGCAGCAGGGAAGGGAGGAGAGGAGTAGCAGCAGGGAAGGGAGGAGAGGAGCAGCAGCAGGGAAGGGAGGAGAGGAGTAGCAGCAGGGAAGGGATGAGAGGAGTAGCAGCAAGGAAGGGAGGAGAGGAGTAGCAGCATGGAAGGGGAGGAGAGGATGCAGCAGAGAGTAGCACAGCAGAGAGGATGCAGCAGAGAGTAGCACAGCAGGGAGGATGTAGCAGAGAGTAGCACAGCAGGGAGGATGTAGCAGAGAGCAGCACAGCAGGGAGGATGCAGCAGGGAGCAGCACAGTAGGGAGAATGTAGCATGGAGTAGCGCAGCAGGAAGCATGCGGCATAGTATGGACCTAGGGGTTGATAGTGGGGAGAAGTAGCGCAGGTGCCAGCTAGGTACCAGAGGATGAGTAGGCATCTACTGTGTTGTAAGCATTTTTCAAGCTAATATTATGATTTACACGTACATTATTTCCCTCATACGGTGAATTTATGGAAAGCCCTATACAAACTACCAATTGTGATTTTCAATCTCCAATTGTGGTTTCTTTAAATGTTGCATATTCCTATTCCTATATTATTATGTGCATATAAAAGTGTGAAGCAAAACTTATCCAAGCACAAAAAAGAATCACATAATTTAACCAAATATGATCAAAACGAGTTATCCTAAACACAATGAGAAGTTCCTCACAACTGTTTTAAAACACTCCAACCATCTACAAAGCATCTGACACATCATCTTGGAAAAGTTCGATACTTTCTTCTAAAAAAGTACCGACCCCTACATCTTCAAATCATCTGCAAAAACACATGAGAAACACATCATGAGAGGTTTTCGGCCACTTGATTTTTGTGATGTCGGGGCGCACGGCGGGAAGGAAAACCGCCGCGCGCCTCGGGGCGCACGGCGGGAAGGGAAAGGTAGCAGCGGAAGCGAGGTGGTAACCCACCCACAGGATCGATCCAAAGGGATCGACCTGCTCTGATACCATGACAAAATTAGAAGGAAGAAAGAGGATTGAACTAGCAAGAATGAAGATACAAATAGCAAACCCTAGAAGGGTTGTACTCGCTATAGAGCACCCCACTACAGGCTAGAACAATAAGATAATATTCTGACAGGCGTCGCGAGCATCGCAGGCGTCGAAGCTGCAAAGAGCAGCGAATGGAGTGGCGAGTTGTCGATGGCGAGTCAAACGGTGATCACCATAATTGTCGCTTTGGAGGATTCTTAAATGTCATCATCGCCGCCTTCGATGCTGGTGCGAGGATCGTCTTCTCTCTCCCTCCTCCTCTCCCCATGCATGTTCCCCCCTTCTCCTCGCTAATTGTTGCTCCTTATCCTCCTGCGCTTGATGTGAGCGACAAACCTTATTTGCCCTTCCGAGACACCTAACAACATTGAATTTCCTTCTATGCTTCCCCTTCCCCACCTCCCTCATCCCCCCCCTCCCCCCCCCCCCCCCCCCCCCCCCCCCCCCCCCAAAAACCCCAACCTACCCCCTACCCCCTTCCTCGTTTCTCCGCACTCCCTTCCCCCCTCATGCTACCTGCCATCCTCTTACAGGCTACAGCGACGTGCTGGAGAATTGGGCGCTGCACGCGCAGGCAGTGGGTCCAGGTGGCCTTGACCTTCGCCGCGAGCAAGTAGCCGAGCAGGTGCGTCCTGCGGAGAGTGATGCATGGCTGGGTGCAACACGGTTGGGTGCTGCACGGTTGGGTGCTGCACGGTTGCAGAATGAGGGGGGGAGAGGAGGGATGGGAGGAGAGGAAAGGTGGGGGGTGTGGTTGGGGGAAGGGGATGGGGGAGGGGACGAGAGGAGAGGGACGAGAGGGATTAGGGCGGTTGGATGGAGACGGATAGGAATGGAGGGGGGCGAGGAGAGGTGGAGTGGGAAGTAGAGGAGAGGCGGGAGCTGGGAGAAGGGGGAAGGGGGGGGGTAATGGTTTTCGCCTTGATGGAAGTAGATGGGGGTGAGAAGTAGGAGGGTGTTGGGAGTGGCAGATGCGCTGCTGGTGGCTGGACGTTACTGGCCGCTCATGAGGGTGCACGTGCATGTAGAAGCGGTGCAAGTGAGCAAGCCCATGCTGTTGGATGGTGAATGCAGATGAGAGCAGGGCGACTTGGGAGAGACTGACCATGCTACACCAAGCAGGACGTGCAGCTTGGCCTACCTGAGGAAATTGGGGGGAAGTGGGAGGATTTGGGAGGGGTTGCGGTGCGAGAGAGGCGATTGTAGCGCAAGAGAAAGAGGGAAGTCGAGCTTCCCTGTAGCTGTCTGAAAAGGCAGACGAAGGAAGACGTGCTATTCAGGCAGATGCGACCCATATCGCCCTTTAGTTGTTTGGCGACGACAAGGGTGAGTCGAGTTGAGAGAGTGTAATCGCATCAGAACGAATCTCTTCGTCGGCCGTTGCTGATGCGATCGTTATCAGGTCGGATGGCGCACGTGGAAACGCATGCTTGGCATTAAGAAATATGATATGCGCTCCCATATTGCCATGATTAAGAAATGGGGTGCACCCATACGTTTCCCCGATGCTTCTGGCCGCTCTTGTCTTCGCCTTTCTTAACTATGTACGTTTTGGAACTCCCGTTTCCTGCCTTTGACCTTACTCCCTCCTCGTTTCAATGTTTGCTTTTGCATGCCCCCACCTTTCCTCGTTCCCGCGTTTCGCTTCTCAATCCTCGTCGTCGCCTGCCTTCTCGGACCTCCTCCCCAACCCTCTTTACCACTCTGCTTTCCGCATTCATTCCTACCCTCCTTTGTCCCCTGTCGCTTCCCACCGTCAGTCTCTGCAACATCGCGTCCGGTACAGTCAACATGTGATACACCTCACTCCCAGCCCTCGCCCCTCTCCCCCTTTCATCTCCCACCTCCTCCCCCTCCCTGTCCCTCTCGCCCGCTCCTCCTCCCTCCGCCTCCTGGTTACTGCTGAGCTTTAACGGCTAACGTAGCAGCTCCTGGGCGTGTCACGTGGCCATGACAGTGGCATGCTGAAGGGAAGACTGATTGCAGAATGAGATTTACAATGGATGACGTTGCAGATACCAGCGCTGCTAAATAGGCAGCGGGACGAAGCATCCCCATCTTTCTGGAGCAGCCGGTGAGAGCAGTACGTGAGAGCATGGGAGGGAAGAGAGATATATGGATTGTAAAGAGACATGTGGTGAGGGAAAGTAGAGGGTAGATAACATTTCGGGCCGGAGTGGGTGTGTGGTGGTGGGTAGTATTTTGCTGTCAACGGTGGGGGTGATGATGTGAGGGAGTGTGTGAGGTGTGACGGAAGACAGATGGGCGAGGAGTTTCCCTGTCTCTCCTACCACATGCACATTACCTCTGCTAGTTCTGCAGCTCCCACTGTGACTGCTCCTGCTGCTGATGCCAGAACCCGTGCTGATGGTGTTAGTGGCGATGCTTCTCCCGTCTCAGCTACCTCCTGCAACACGTTCATCTCATGGATTTCTATGTACCATAACCTTCATACAATGTCCTCATGCCTACATTGCGTTGTGTCTGTTTCACTTTTAAGTGCTCCGCCCTGCCTCATCACTTTCCAATCGCCCCTAGCCCTCGTCTCTCCATTCCCAACATTTCCAGGACGACGCAGTGCAATGTAGGGCGCGCACCCACTGTCACTGCTCCCTTCCTCCCCTTCCCCATCCACCTCCGCCCTAACCCTGTCCATTCCATATCCCTTCCCCATGCCATAACCCCTGTTTTCCCTCGTCTCCCCCTTTCCCATCTTCAAGTTCTCCATTTGCCCAACTTTAGCCATTGCACCTGTAACTTCAACCATCACACCCAAATAGCTGTCTTCCCGTCTTGCCATTCATTTCGTAGATGAATCAAGTGACCCACCCCATCCCATACCCCATCCCGCCCATTCCATGAGTCACCCCATCCCACACCCCATCCCATGCCCCATCCCATACCTCGTCCCGTACCCCATCCCAAACCCCATCCCATCCCATCCCACACCCCATCCCACACCCCATCCTATACCCCATTCCACACCCCATCCCATACCAAATCCCACACCCCATCCCACACCCCATCCCATACCTTATTCCACACCCCATCCCATACCCCATCCGACACCCAACCCAAACCCTATCCCACACCCTATCCCACACCCCATCCCATATCCCATCCCATACCCCATCCCACACCCCCATCCCATATCCCATCCCACAATCCATCCCATATCCCATCCCACACCCCATCCCATACCCCATCCCACACCCCATCCCACACCCCATCCCATACCCCATCCCACACCCCATCCCATACCGCATCCCACAACCCATCCCATACCCCATACCACACCCCATCCCATACCCCATCCCACACCCCATCCCATACCGCATCCCACACCCCATCCCATACCCCATACCACACCCCATCCCATACCCCATCCCACACCCCATCCCATATCCCATCCCATACCTCATCAGCTCACCTCACCTCTAATCCACATCCTCACCTCCTGCCTTCCAGCTAGCTGTCAGCATTTTGATTAAATTGTACGATCCCACCATGCCCTGCCTTTCATGCCATCGGGTCATGGCCTTTCCTTCGTCCAACTTATGACGAAAACATTGTGTCCCTCCCCGTCCTAGATCAACGTCATCACCCTCCCATCTTCTCCCCGCCTTCTCAAATCGCACTCGGGCAGCACCTCTGCCTCCTGTCCTCATCACAGGCAAATCAATGCAGTGAAGCGTGGCAGTACTCAACAACATCAGAGCTAACAGAACGAGCTGTTGCATCGCTACTGCTCTTGGTAAAAAATCCGGGCGAGGCCGCAATTCTTTGTTTTCTGCATGCCACTCTATTTCATTCCTTCGTTCCAGGGATTCAGATCCTTTCACTGTGTTGCCGCCTGCCGCCATTCCAGCAGTGGATACCTCAGGTGGATTGTTGAATAGTACCCTCGGCCAATAGAATGCCCTCAGGATGTACTATAGTAGCAAGCCACCTTATGTGGTTTTGTGTACAGGAGGCATGAACCTCCTGTCTGATGTATTACATAGTAGCAAGAGTTTTTGTCGTTGATGAGTTTGGAGGATCACCAAATGAACATGATTACCAGTAATTGAGCATACTAAGACTGTTCAGAAACCTGTGTCATACCCTCTCCTCTGAGGAGATCCTTTCACTGTGCTGCCGCCTGTGACATCTCTTCCCTAACCCCGCCTCCATTTCCACGCCTGTTCTCGGCCACTTTGCATATCCACCTCCGTGCAGCATCGTTTTGAAGGCATCCCCATAATGGCGTCCAGAGAGTTGTCAGTTTGGTCAGGGCAGTCAGCTGCTGTCATCACAAAAATGTGTGTGTCTAGAAAACATTCGACCGTTTGGTTTGTTTCCAAGGGTTTAAAAAACGTTTGACAATCTTTCAGAAATCATCTACATATCATTCGGATATCATTTTGTACTACCCAAATGTTTTGTTGATGTTTTAGTAATGGATTACCAATGTTTTGATGGTTGATGTGTCAAATGTTGTTTGTTGAGACAATACATAAGGCTTCATGAATAGGAGTATCACAATTATACGATGTTATAGTCTAGAAAAACGATCGCAATTTTGAAGGCATTACCAGATGAACCTATTGAGGAGCTTCACATCAGGGTCTTTGCAGCATGGGACGACATGCACGATGCTAAGAATGCAATCTGCATCTACAACTGCATAGTTGTAAGTGCCCTTCGTGGGCAGCAGTCGCTTGCAGCCTGTGTAGCGGCAGACGCGCCGATCCTCCGTGTAGTACTCTATGTAGGCGGCCTTTTTTGCCATGCCATCTTTCACGTAATGGAACAGCATCAAGCAACGGCCGTACCAGTTGGCCCCTTTGCCAGATGGGTTTATGGCCACATCTGAAAAGTGCCTCTCAGCAGGGCTTGCTTTGACAAACTGCCCCTTCTCGGTCCACTCCATTCTGTCGTGCGGTGGGATTGCCATGGCTGTGTGCACCTGCGAGTAAACAAACATGGAACGCAACAAAACAATGGAAGGGTCGTGTTAGATTTCTCAAGGATGAGTTGCTAAGTGGTGCATTGATACAACGGATTTCCATGGCTGGGTTTTCCCATTACAACTGGTCTAAGACTGCTTGCGTTTAACAGGATGGTAGTGGCAGGTCTGCATTGCAGGGGGCAATCTTATGATTCTCACACTGAGCACTTGTTCGCGGATTCCCTCCATGGTCAGCCGCTTCTTCAGGGCGCCCATCGCTTCATCTCCGTGAAGGAGGACGTAGCTCCTGAATACATCATCGAGGATGTTCCCCACGGTCATCTTCTTGTGTGTCTTTGTCATCACCCGGCGCCCAAGCGTGCAAGCCTGGGTAGGAAGGTGATGGATGCATGGTTTACATGGCGGCATAACAAGGCAGCAATTGAAGTGCAATGGGGACAACAGGAGGAGGGAGCAGTGATTAGGGACGAGTGGGCGGGAATAGGGGGCAGTACGAGAGGTCAGAGGGGGCAGCAACAGTAGGCATGTGAATAGGGGGACAAGTGCCAAGCGGGGGGGGGGGCTCAACGAATTACAAAGATGGGCTGGATGGTTTAGCCAGTGGTGGAGCAAGGGTGGGAAGTTCGAGTGGGCGAGGGGTATAGCAGGAGGGTTTAGGTTCATGGGTGGACAAGCGAGGGATCTTTTGAGAGCAGAACGGGATGTCAAGGGGGGCAGCACGAGGACACTTGGTGGGTGGACAAGTGGGGGAGCATGTGGGGGCAGAATGGGATGTCAAGAGGGGCAGCAAGAAGATGGTTGGTCGGTGGACAAGTGGGGAAGCATGTAGGCGACAGAACGGGAAGCAAAGAGGGGCAGCAGGAGGAAGGTCGGTGGGTGGACAAGTGGGGAAGCATGTGGGGGCAGAACGGGATGTCAAGAGGGGCAGCAAGACGAAGGTTGGTGGGTGGACTAATGGGGAAGCATCTGGGGGCATTTAAGAGATGACAAGAGGGGGCAACGGGTTAAACATCCATGTGAGGCCCCGTGGGGGAGCATGGGAGTGCAGAACGGGATGTCATAAGTTTATGGTAGTCGGGTAAGGGTCAGCGGGGCTCAAGAGGATAGGCAAGGTTTAGCTTTAAAACAGGAGGTCATGGAGGGTAGTCGGCGGTTGGAGCAAGGGGGGACAAGTGGTGGATTGAAACGGCTTTGGGTTGTATTCAGTCTCACCTCCTTCATGGCTGTCTCGTAGGTTTTGTCCCCGCCGGCAGCCCGAGACAGCTGTCGAACAACAGCTTGCTCGACATGCTTCTTCACAATCCTATCTTCCACACCCTTCCAGTTGGTGCCCCGAGATGGGCGCTTTACTGTTGTCTTGTGGGATTGCTCGTACCGGTTCGACGAGTACTCCTGTGGCAATCCGCGTGCGCGGATCGTCGGTGGCAGGTGCGATACAAGATGTACCTTCACAATAAACCACTTCGACTTCTGGTTGTCGAACGCTAGAACAAGCGCATCGACCATCCTGTATGGAATGTGTTATGGAGGATTGGAAGATACGGGGTTGGCGCAGTGGGGTGGTATGGAGGGGTTTACTGTGCCCCATACCCTCTCACATCCCCTCCTCCCCTCTCTCATGCCTTTCCGCCTTTTTTCATCCCCTCCCCCCTCCTCTCATATCCTCCCCCCCCCCCTCTCTCATCCCCTCCTTCCTTCTAATTGCCCCTCCATTCCCTCACTCTGTGCCCCTCCTCTTCTCTCTATGCCCCTCGTTGCCTCTCTCAGCCCCTCGTTGCCTCTCTCAGCCCCTCGTTGCCTCTCTCAGCCCCTCGTTCCCTCTCTCAGCCCCTCATTCCCTCTCTCAGCCCCTCGTACCCTCTCTCAGCCCCTCGTTCCCTATCTCAGCCCCTCGTTCCCTATCTCAGCCCCTCGTTCCCTCTCTCAGCCCCTCGTTCCCTCTCTCAGCCCCTCGTTCCCTCTCTCAGCCCCTCGTTCCCTCTCTCAGCCCCTCGTTCCCTATCTCAGCCCCTCGTTCCCTCTCTCAGCCCCTCGTTCCCTATCTCAGCCCCTCGTTCCCTCTCTCAGCCCCTCGTTCCCTCTCTCAGCCCCTCGTTCCCTCTCTCAGCCCCTTGTTCCCTCTCTCAGCCCCTCGTTCCCTCTCTCAGCCCCTCTATCCCTCTCTCATCCATCCTTCCCTATCTCTGCCCCCCCTTTCCCCTCTTTCGGCCCCTCGTTCCCTCACTCTGCCCTCTTTCCCTCTCTTTTCCATTCTTTCTCTCTCTTTGCCCTTCTTTCACAAACTTTGCCCGCTGTCCCCGTTTCTCAGCCCCCATTTCCCACACACGGCCCCTTAGTCCCTCTTTCGGCCCCTCGATCCTCGCTCTGTCCCTCTTTCCCTCTGCGCAAGGAACGCACATCCATTCACACTAGACTTACTCGCAGGAGACCTCCTCCATGCGCTCGAGAGATTCATCAGTGTGATACTCAGCCCGGATGAACTCCTTGTACCAGTCCGACATGAGCGTGATGGCATGTCGAATATCGGCGCGCTTGGGGAGGTCAATAATGAGGGGCAGCACTTGCATCATGGCACGGTGCTCCGACGCCGAGAAGCAGGCCGTCGTGGTGAAGTACGCCCACGCGGATGGGAGCCTCAGCAAAGATGCAGGGGTCACTGCCTTGATGATCTTGTAGCGTCTGCACGTACGGGATGCAATCAGGGTATCGGTTATGGGGGTGTGGGGCAGGGGGGGAAGGGGGAGGGAGGGGGGCAGGCGGGCGAGCAAGGGACGGGTGAAGGGGGGGGGGGAGTAGTTAGGTGCATCCAATCGCACCCTCATCTCCCCACTTTCTCTCTCACTGCCTCACTTTCCCCCCCTCTGCCCCTCTCTCCCATACTCTATGCCCCACCCTTCCTCTCTCTGACCCTCGTTCCCACTCTCTGCCACATGATCACCTCGCTCCGCCCCTCGTTCCCTTTCTCTGCCCCAATTTGCCTCACTCTTACCCACTTGCCCTCTCTCTGCCCCAATCTCCCTTTCTCTATTCCCAAATTTCCCCCTTCATTCCTCTCCTGCCCTCCCTATGCCCCGAGTTCACTTCTCTATGCCCCGCATTCACCTCTCTCTGACCCTCCTTCCCTCGTTATGACCCTCCTTCACTCCGTCGCTATCCCTCTCTCTACCGCGCATTCCTTCTTGGCTTCGTCTCTTACCCTCCCTCTACCCTGCATTCCTCCTTCGCGGCGTCTGTTTCCCTCTCTATGCCCACTTCCCTATGCCCCGCTCTCACCTCTCTCCGCCCCTCCTTCCCTCTCTCCGCCCCTCCTTCGGTCTCTCAGCCCCAAATTCCTTCTCTCTTCCCCACTGTCCCTTTCTCTGCCCCACTTTCCCTCTCTTTGCCCCACATGCACCTTCCTCTGACACTCATTCCCTCATCACG